CGCCCTGGGAACCGGAAGCAAGTCCAGGAGAGTGGGGGTCTGGCGTGGCTTGCTCTGACAGCCTTAGAATGACTGCTCGGCCCTTATCTCTTGGCAGGACTGATATGGCCTCTTGACCAGGGACTGTTGGGCACATTACACTGAATGACCACCAGAATCCCCTAGGAGAGTCTTTTTGCCTTTGTCCTTGTGGCAGAGCTGCATGAGAAAGCCATATCCCCACTTGCCCAGAGAGGGAAGGAATTTGCCCAGGTTCTCCCAATGAGGAAGTGGTCATGCCAGGATTCAGTCTCAGCTCTGATTCCAAATCCTTCCATGTGGTGGCACTTCTGATAGGGCCCTCTAAGGTGGTTTAGTCTAGTCTTCAACCTGACAGTGACCACTGCCTCAGTTTCCCCGGGGATGTCCATGAACAGAGCACAGGTCATCACAGGCCCAGGTTTGCTCTGCTGCACGCTTCTGGGCACATTCCAGGGCACATCTCACCATGTGCTACGTGGCTGATCTGCCCCACTGCCTTGTCCTGTGGCCCCTGGGACCTAAGAGGCATTTCACTACATTTACCTCTCTGGGATTTTCACTCTTAGGCTAGTAATGCTGAGGTGGTTGAGGGCCTTAGTAGAAAAAGCCCAAGCTTTGGCAGCTGCCACACGGAATTGAAATCCCATGTCTGCCACCTATGACCCTCACCTCTTTGAGCCTCAATGTGCTCTTCAGTAAAATGGAACCAACAACAGCTACCAGGATAGCTGTGAGGAGTCACTGGAATATTGGAAGGTCCCAGGCCAGAGAGCCAGGGTAGAAAAATGTCTAAACTGGTCTAGACAGTGAACACATCTGTTCCCCAAACACCACCCATCCCTGTAGCTGCCATTCCCTGGGCCCAGCTGACCTCATGCTGCCCTTCAGGACTGTGATGGTGCTTTTGGCTGCTCTGGCCTCCTTGCCCAGTGCTTGTCAGGGCTTGGCACACAGACAGATACCAAGCTTACCCCCGGGCTTCCAGAATGCCAGGGAAGAAAGGGGTATCTGTCTTTCCTATGTGCAGTGATAGAGCTCCTTCATCACCTTCTTCTTCCAGCCTTGCTTCTCTGGGCACTGCCTGGTCCTGCATCTTGCCACCTTTGCCCACTTGCTCTGAGCTCCCAGGGACTAGGCTGAGCTGATTCTCTTCTGTGTTCTCAGGGCAGAATCTGGGTCAGATGTGAGGCTCATTGAATACCGCGCTGAAGCTTCCATGGGGCTTTCCTACCTACTTTGGTGCTTTTCTTCCACATCTGATACCACCAAGCATTTGTTTGGGGAGCCATGATAGAGAAGAGCAGGAGCCTGGCTACGAGTTCAGACTGTGGCCCTGCTCCCACCCAGGTGTGACCGGAAATGTAACTTAACATCTCCAGGCCTGGATTTCCTCCTATGTCAAGTGGAGACATAATGGGCGAGTTCAGACTGTGGCCCTGCTCCCACCCAGGTGTGACCAGAAATGTAACTTAACATCTCCAGGCCTGGATTTCCTCCTATGTCAAGTGGAGACATAATGGGTCCTTTGTAATGGGGTTTCTTGGGTAAAACACCTAGCACAGAGGTTGGCACACAGGACACACTTAGTGCATGTTAGCATAGGAAAAAGAAAAAAATAGGATACACGTTTCTTTTTTTGGATGCTGAGCTTCTTGCAAAGGGAAATCCTCCTGTGTTCATGTTAGGAAACTCCTCAGGTGCTGTGGTTCATCATGGTACTTACTTTAAGATGATTATGGACTAGGATTGACCAAAAAGCGGCATTGGTATCTATCACAGACAATAACCTCTCAGTGCAGGGCTCGGGGGGGGCTTCTTGCAGGCCTTGGGCTGAGAGACAGTAGAGCTGGTTCTTATCCCTGCCTTGCTGTTTCCCTGGGCCAGCCCCTTTCCCTCTCTGGGCCTCAGGCTCCCCATCTGTAGGTGGACTCTGATTCATTGGATTTCTTCTAGCCCTGCACATACAGAGGCAGTCTGCCAAGGAAACTCATTTTGGAATACAGATACACCGCAAAGATTCCATTGAAAAGAGAGGCAGAAATGAAACAGATTCAGGGGACCCAATCTCTCTCCCCAAATCCCTGCCAGGCTGCCCAAGGCAGGGGGAACAGTCATGTGGCTCCAGAGGCAGCCAGAAGGACTGTGGGAAGATTTAAATAAAGCTGGCCCATGGGAAGGAGCTTCCTGGGGAGAAGGTGAGCCCTGGCCCTGGAGGTGTGGGAGCAAGGCTGGGCAGCTGTGTTTGCAGTTGGTTCAGTGTCCCTCCCGCGCTGAGATCTACCCTGGGTTGGGTCTTGTGACAAATCTGACATAGTCCCTGTGCTGGAAGGACACTGGAGAGACAGGGAGGAAAGCAAACCCTGTTGGACTGTGGGGATCAGTGATGATCTAGAGCAGAGGTCATCAAACTACAGACCATGGGCCAAATCCAGCCTGCCACCTGATTTTGTAAAGTTCTACTGAAACATCATCATGCTCACTCATTTATCTATTGTCTCTGGCTGCTTCTGACCCATAAGGCAGAATTGAGTAGCATGACAGAGACCACATTGCCCTTGGAGCCTAAAATATCTACTCTTTGGTCCTTTACAGAGAAAGTTTGGCAACCTCAGCTCTAGAGAGGCAGTCAGAGGATTGTGGAAGCTCAGGGGAAAGGCCCCTGAACAAGACTGGAGGTTTTCAAGAAAGGCTTCTTGGAGGAGGTGATATTTAAGCCCAGTGTGTAATGGAAAGAAGGTGGAGTTGGGGGAAAGGGCTTTCAAAGGACAGCCTGGGCAAGGCATGATGGTATGAATAGTATGGGGTGTGCAGGGACCCACCAGCTGACTGGAAGTATGGGGAGAGGAAGATGAGTGAAGACCCTGGGGAGAGCAGGATCCTGGTGGCCTCTGAAGTCACATCTAGCCCCAAGGTCATTCAAGGTGACGACTTTGGAGGTCTGTGCTCCCCAAGGCCTGGGTAAGTCACTGCTGTGCTGAGGAAGCCTCCTCTGGACTGAAAAGAGACCTCTCCCCCCACCCACCTGCATTTCTGGGCCTCCTGATCTGGACCTACCACACCTGAAAGATTATATCTTACCAAATCACCCTCCCTTGTCCTGATGAAGAAACTGAGGGCCAGAAAGAGAGTGATTCACTTGAGGGCACACAGCAAAACACAGCACAGCAAAGACTCAAATCCAGACCTCCTAGCCCCTGCCCGGTGCTCTTTTTCTGCCACTTTGTTGCTCTGTAGCAGGTCCTGGGCCCTCAGCCCAAGTATGGGCAGAGGATATGTAAATTGAAAGCAGATGTGATACAGATAAACCCCCAGCAATTCAGAGGCCCAGGGCTGCTATGGCAGATGCAGGGAGTCAAGGCTGGGGTCCTCAAGGCTCCTTTCTAGTCTCCAACACCCCCCGCCCCCAACACACACACCTACTGGGGGTAGCCAGGCAGCCCCAGCTCACCCGCTGAAGGCCTGTCAGGGCAACTGCCTCGCTCCTGCCCTGGCCTGACAGATGTGGTCAGCGCTGGGTGCTGATACTTAGGAGGGGGCTGAAGCACCAGGAAGCACAGAGCAATAAGAATCAGGCTCCGGAGGATATGGCCAGCCCCCTCCTGTCCCTCCCTGACCCTGAAACTCTAGTTCCTCTCAGGACAAGGCACAGAGGGCAGCAAAGAGTTTTGGGCTGGGGCTGGTCCCATTCTTGTCTCAGCTCTGCTACCAGTTATGAGATCTCAGCCTGCTTACATCCCGTGTGGGCAGAGAACACCCCATTTTTTTTGCTTCTAATTAAGACCCAAGCCATGAAAATAGCGATAGCTACTGCTTATTGATCATCCGCTATATGCCAGAATCTCTGCTGCATATTTTTTTTTATTTTCGTTTTAGAAAAATATTTTTTAAATTTAATTTTATTTTACTTCTCAAAATACATTGTACTTGATTTTTCTGCTGCATATTCCTCATACATTATAACTTCTTGTTACTCTTCCTCATAGCCCTTGGTTTTCTTCTCCCCGTTATATAGATAAGAAAATGGAGGCTCAGAGGTTAAGTAACATCCCCAAGGTCACATAGATAGGAGGCAGCAAAGCTGGGATTAAAATCCCTGCTGCAGTGTGGAAGTGCCCCCTGCAGGCTCTAAGTGCCTTAGGAGCAGGGACTGATTTAAGTGTCTTGTCCAGAATATGCTCTTTCCACCACTCTGAACACAAAATACCTCATTCATCTTTTTTTTTTTTTTTCCTTTTTGTCTCTTTTTTACTGACCGGTAACGGGATCGCAACCCTTGGTGTCGCGCCCGCACTGGGGACTGGCAACGGGATCGCAACCCCCGGTGTCACGCCCGCACCGCGCTCAGCCAGCGAGCGGGAACTGGTCTCCACATGGGATCCAAACCCTCGGCGGGAGCGCCGCCATGCTCCGAAGCGGCGCACTCTCCAGTGCGCCACCGGGCCGGCCCCTTCATTCATCTTGCAAGAAAGTCATCATCTACTTTGAGGGCTCATGATCCTCAGCTCCCTGGTGCTAGCAGAAGAGGCTTTGACTTCTGGTCTGGTTGGGGGGAGTGGGACAGGCAGGTAAAGGAACTGAGAACAGGCTGAAAGGGGCTATAATAGCTGCCACAGCGAATCAGGGAGGGCTTCCTGGAGGCAGTGACAGTGGAACTGGATATTGCGGGAAGAGAGGGGTGTGACAAGGGTGTGACAGGTCCTGTCACCCTTGCTGGACTTGAGCTCCTGGATGTGGAGAGCAGGGTCAGGGTGTTACCCGACTTCACGTGGAGCTTAGTAAACTCCTGTGGAATAAGTAAGCATTTCTCTCCTGTCCTCTCCCCTTGTTTGGTGAGGCACTCCAAGGCCTACTGTGGGAGGTCACGTGGTTCAGCTTTCAGACCAACCACGTTCTGGTCACCCCATTGCCACCTGACTGTGTGTCCTAGAGAAACCTCCTGTGTTCACCAGGCCCTTCTCACTCTTCTCCCTGTCCTGCAGCCAAGAAGACCTGTGCGGACAGCGACTTCACCTGTGACAACGGCCACTGCATCCCCGAGAGGTGGAAGTGTGATGGCGAGGAGGAGTGTCCTGACGGCTCCGATGAGTCCGAGACCACGTGCAGTGAGTCCCGCCTCTTGGGCTGGGGAGAGCGGGCCTTGCTGCAGGCCTCAGTCTCCTCATCAGACTTGAGTTGTTGGGAGGTTGTGCAGCTCACGTAAGGTGATCAGTTGAACCCTTGGTGCCGAGCCCTCGGGGGAGCCTGGTAAACAGTCGGGTGTGTCTAGATGCTGGTTTCTGGTCGCCTGTTTCTGGGCTTTCTTCACAGGCGTCTTGCAGATTGGATACTGTCCCTATAGGACTAGGTGCTGGATATAGGCCTGTTGAACCCTTCTGCCCAGAAGTAGCCCTAGTACATCCTCTGGGTCCCCCGACTATTGTCTTGCAGATTGGATACTGTCCCTATAGGACTAGGTGCTGGATACAGGCCTGTTGAACCCTTCTGCCCAGAAGTAGCCCTAGTACATCCTCTGGGTCCCCCGACTATTGTTCTTGTGGATCCTCATCATCATCCCAATAGTGCTGATGGCAGCTGGCACTTCCTAAGTGTTTACTGTGTGCCAGGCACTGTGCTGAGCTCTTTGCGTGCAGTAATTCCCTTTATCCCCACAGCAGCCTCATGAGATATAGGTACTGTTAACTTTCTGAATTTTGTAAAGGAGGACACTGAAGCTCAGAGAGATTGAGTGGTTTGCCCACGGCCACCCAGTCAGGACCTTGAGGCTCCAGCCCTTTCCTCTGCCCTGAGCGGGCTGAGCCCAGGAGCCCTGGCTTCCATGGCCGGCTGGGTGGCAGCAGAGGCAGCCAGAGGTGAGGTGGAGGGCTGGAGCCAAGCCCCAGACCCACCTCCCACACTCAGGGCTTTGTCTCTCCATGATTTCTTTTCCAAGCTCTAATCCTCAAAGCAAACTTACACCCGGCAGGTCATTCCGTGACATTTGTTAAATTAAAAAGGAGATGAGAAGGGGGTGGGAAAGGACTCAGCAGTCCTGAGTCAGAGCTTCAGCAGCGGGAGCCTGAGACAAAAGGCTTGGAGGAGGGGGGAGGGTGTGGAGGACAGTGGGGCTGGTGGGGACCCAGGAGCCCCTCTTTAGGGGTAACAGTCACCCCAGAAGCAGAGGCAAAGACAATGGAGGCCAGAGTCCCATGTAGGGCTGCTGCTGGTGATAACTGGGTTTCCTTGTATCCTAGCAACAGAGCTACCAGTCTCCACGTGAGAGAAAGAGAAAGGGGGGGAGAGAGAGAGAGAGCGAGCGAGCACACGCGCGTGAGAGCGAATCCCGCCCGGGAAAAGGGGCCCCTCATTTCCTTGTATCCTATAGCTTCCCTTGCCCTCCACAGTCCTGCCACAGGCCCCGTCCTTTCCTCACCCCACCGAGGAGTCACACTGCATGCTGTCCTGGAGGCTCCTGGGCAGGAGGGAAGCCCAGTGCTTTGTCCTGAGCTTTGGAAGGAACAAAGCCTGGCCACGCCCACTTGTGACTTTCATCCTCATGCCAACTTTGGAAAGGAGGTGGATCCCCACTTAGAGAGAAGGAAACTGAGGCTGGAGCAGGTTCAGCCACTCGCCCAGGGCTGCCCAGAGAACAAGGGGCAGAGCTGTGTGCAGCCTGGAGTGTGTGTTGGGGGAGGAGGGCTGTGGCCGCAGGGGGCTTTTCCTGCACTGCAGTCAGCCAGCTCTGCCATCCGCACCCCACTCCTGCAGCTGCCCCACATACCAGGGCAGAAAGGGAAGGGAAGGCAGCCTCCTTGTGGGCATTAGAGGAGGGCTGGCTGTCTTGCTGCCTGAGGGCTATACTCCCTCTTCTCCCCACATCTGCCTCTTTTGTTGATGTCTCTTTTCATGTTCCTTCCTGCCCCCCAATGGGCTGCCCCACCCCTGTGCTCGTCATCTCTCTCTTCCCTGCCTACCCAGTGTTTCCCTCTGTCTTCCTCCCTTGTCCACCCCAGCACTTGCTGCCTTTCCACCCTCTGGGCTGTGCAGCCCTCCTGCTTCCCAGGCCCACTTTTATTTGACAGTTGAGGAACTGGAGGCCCAGAGAAGCTGATAGACCTGCTTCAAAGACATACAGCTTGTTGGTGGCAGGTCTCCCTTCCATGACAAAGACAGGCTCCTTGAGCTCTTGGAGGTTTGACAGGTGCCCCTGAGAGCAGCAGCCATAGCAGCACCCCAGGAGACAAGATGCCCACCTCTCATGTGGGCTATCCTGATAATTCACTGTGAGGTCCTACATACCTTCTCACCTTTCTCTGGGCTCTGATCTCCAACATTCCAGAATTTCAAAGACTTTACAATTTCAAGATTCCCTTCTCTTAGTATTCTGAGACCTTCTTTCTCCCTTTTCTGAGCCCGGCTGGGGCGCAAGGCCCAGGACCCCTCTTCCTGTGCAGTTAAACATTGGTCAGAGGCAGACAAGGACTATGGGTAGGGGGGGTGCCAGGAGGAGGTCAGCCAGAGTGGGACCCCGAGGGTCAGGCAGAATTTGGGGCAGCAGGACCTGGTAGCAGGATTGCTCACAGCTTCCCAACTGAATGAGAACTCGGCAGCCAACCCACTGTCCATTTAATTGGCATTGCTATAGCAACCTCCATAGCCTACCAGGTTCCTGGGGCTGTGCCAGCTCCCAGGATAGAGCCCACTCCCCACCCCTAAAAGAAAGATTATAGATAGTAAAGTGTAGTGAGTTTGTTGGTATCTGAAATAGTTGGGTTAAGGTCCTTTACCTGTGAGACCTCAGGCAAGTTGCCTCATCTTCCTGAGCCTCAGTTTATTCATCTGTAAAATGGGGTGATGATACCTGCCTTATGGGGGTTGCGAGAATCAAATGAGAAAATGCAAGTGTTGCTGCTGGAGTACATGGCAATGTTACATTTTAGTTATATTTTGACTCTAAGCCCTCTCCCCCCAGACACAACTGTTTATTAGAACATTATAGTATTAGAATAGTATAAGTGAGGGGGGGTTCACTGAGAGGGAAAGGGACATGGGAGCAAGTCCCAATTCTTGTGTTTCCCCCATTATGTTATCTGCCCCCACCTGGCCGGGGGTTTCTTCCAGCTGTTTCTCTCTGGTTCTGCATTCTGTACATATCAAATATAGCCAGGAGTCACAACAGAAAAGCCCAGTGTTTGCCTAATGAAAGTAGCATTTCAGCTCTAATTATAGCTCATTTGATTGGGGATGGCTTCTGACCCACCTTCAGGCATCTCTTGGGAGGGTTAAAGGCTAGAGGGAGGGGAAGATTGTTCAAGGTGAATAAGTTACAGTTCTGGGTGCTACTTATTGGATATGTAGATTTGTTTTCATGTGTCTTAGAACCTTTCCACCTGGGAAGGGGATTTCACTAATTAACCAAGCTGACCTTCCTATTACAGATCAGGAAATGAAGGTGCAGAGATTTTTCTGAAATCACTCAGCAAGTTCAGGTCTGACCCAGCTAGAAGCATTTTGCCTGACCCTGTGTGAAGTAGTTTGGTGTAACTACCCCCTTCTGTACAGTGGGATGGTCCCATGCTGTGCTTCCTGGGGCAGGAGCTGGACAGAGTGACTCTGGTTGTTCCCATCGCCTTAGTCTCTGGTCCTCTAGAGCTGGTGGTCCCCATTTGGCTGTTGTTTGCCTCTAAAATTTACGTGAGTTGAGACTGTAGACATGTTCAATCAGTGAGCAGCCACCAAGTGCTTTCATTCTTTTATTCAACAGACATTTCCCTTTTTGTTAATTTGTGAATTTATGAATTGAAGAAAGTGCCAATGGATTTGGATTTCTGGGGCAGGATTCTCTGGGAATTTATAAATGCCTTCAACTACTCCAAGATGGAGTTTCAAGACTCCTTGCCAACACTGAAGGGTTCCTATTGTCTGAGAGACAGAGGGGTTCTCAGATGCTTGGATGGCAGGATAAGGCATCCTTCAGGGGTACCTGCCGTTTGCATTTGTATTTCATGAAATAAAACAAGGGCAGCTGTTTTTCTGAGCTCCGGGTTTGTTCCAGGCTCTGAGTATAGGGATTTTCATGTTGTTTCCTCATTTAAACCACCCACCAATCCCATTTTCAGATGAGGGGATCCAGTGTGCCAGAGAAGTTAAGTGACTTGCTAAGGACCTTAGTGTTAGTAAATGAGATTTGGACACAGATCTGACTGCAAAACCCATGTTCTTTCTCCTATGTCATGCTGACTGGGGGCCTTTGGCTTTAGTTATCCTGACAGTGGACATCTATCTGATGGCCATCTTGCAGAACCTGCTGAGCAAAGGCTCAGTGAGCCCCCTTCCTCCAGTGACCCCTCTCCAGCCCAGAGGTTCCAGGGAGATCAAAGGGGTCTACTTTTCTCATGAGCAACAGTTAAAGGCAGTAAATTCAGCAGTGTGTTTATACCTGGGATGGAAGTCCAGCACACCACAAGACTTTGAACAAACGACTTACTCTCTCTAGGCTTTGCTCTCTTCATTCATAAAACAGAGGTAATACAGTAGTCCCCCCTTATCTGCAGTTTCACTTTCCTGCAGTCAAGAAGAAGGCTGAGTACAGTACAGTAAGATATTTCAAGAGACACATTCACATAACTCTTATTACAGTATATTGTTATAATTGTTCTATTTCATTATTAGTTATTATTATTAATCCTTACTGTGCCTAATTTATAAATTAAAGTTTATCGTAGGTTTTTATGTATAGGAAAAAACAAAGTAAATATAGGGTTTGGTATTACCTGCGGTTTGAGCATCGTCTGGGGGTCTTGGAATGTATCCCCTGTGGATAAAGGGGGTCGGGTGAGCTACTGTCATAGTACCCACCTCACAGAGAGATACTGCACATCAGCACCTATCCAGACCAGCTTACCAAGGCTGTGCAGTGGAGAGGCCTGACCTGGGAGCTTGGAGATCCAGGTTTGAGTCCTAGCTTTGGAGAAGAGCTACATCACGAGAGAGACAGAGAGGTTCCAGGAGAAACTGGCAGTTGGAACATCCAGCATCCAATAGCCATGTGGCCCTAGGCAGGTCCATTCCCCTCTCTGGGCCTTCGTCTCCTGCCACTCCAGGGATGCTCATCAACATGACCTCTGAGGCCTCATGTTCTGGCATTTCAAAAACCTTGGCTCTTTGGGGGTGGGGGGCTGATATCATGCACTGCCGAATCCTCAAGAGCCTGTAATTAGAACTGTCTATTTAGGGACACAGCAAATGTCTTATTAATTATAAAGAAAGGAAGCAGACAGATTGTTTATCATTGTCCTTGCTGAAAGGTTATGCAATTAACTGTATAAATATTCAGTAAAAGTTCAAGTGGTTGCCTGCTGCACTGGGGCCTGCAGAACCAGGTCCCTGGAGGTGGTACATGTGGCCAAAGGCCATTTCAGTCACCTGGGGTTTGGGGAGGAGAATTTGGGGCTGGTTTTGTAGTGTGCTGGGTTTGATGGAAAGGGCAGGGCAGGGCTGTAATCAGAGGAATTTGCACTCTGCCCCTCACCAGCTGTGCATCTCTGGGCCAGTTACTTGGTCTCTCTTACAGTTCCCTCATCTGTAAAATGGAGCTCCTACCTGCAGAACTGCTGACCCACTCCAGGGGCACCGCTGATGTGATGATCTTTGTGAATGATGCCCCTGGAATTTGTGCTCAAAGCCTGCAGGCCCTACTCACCTGGCAGGGTGAGGGTGAGGGTGTATCTTAGTCCATTTTGGCTACTATAATAAAATACCTTAGACTGGGTAATTTACAAACAACAAAAACTTATCACTTACAATTTTGAAAGCTAGGAAGTCCAAGATCAAAGCACTGACTGATTTAGTGTGTGGTGAGGGCCCATTCCTCAGAGACGGTGCCTTCTTGCTACATTTTCACATGGTGGAAGGGTCAAGGAGGCTCCCTCGGGCCTCCTTTATAAGAGCAGAAATCACATTCAAGAGGGTTCAGCTTTGGGCCGGCCCAGTGGTGCACTCGGTAGAGTGCGGCGTTTGGAAGCGTGGCGGCGCTTGGGAGTGCAGCAGCACTCCCGCCGAGGGTTCGGATCCTATATACAGACCGGTCTGCTCACTGGTTGAGCGCGGTGCGGGCGCGACACCGAGGGTTGCGATCCCATTGCCGGTCGCGGTGTGGGCGCGACACTGAGGGTTGCGATCCCGTTACCAGTCACGAAAAAAGACAAAAAGGGAAAAATAAAAAAAAGAGGGTTCAGCCTTCATGACTTAATCACTCCTAAAGGCCCCACCTCTTAATACACATCTTAATAATCTTAATCATATTGGGGATTAAGTTCCAACATGAATTTGGGGGCGATACCAAGATTCAAACCATGAGAGGGTGAAATGGGAAGATAAACCATTCCGCACAGAGCAGGCTGACACACTGTAGGTGCTCAGTAAATGTGACTCCCTGCCGACCCCCTATGAGGTCTGTTGCCTGAGGCCTGGGTTAGGGATAAGTGGTCGCCTTGCCCTTCCATCTCACTGCTCTCTCAGGGGCTTGCAAACATATGCAACACCTGTACCACTTTTATAGTAGTGAATACGAAGGAGACGAAATGTCCTGTATCTTCTAGACTTGCAGAATGTTAACACAGGGGTTCTTAACAGAAGTGCGTGGGTTAGGGGTGGGTAGTTACTAAAATGCAGATTCCTGGGCTCCACCCTCGAAGTCTGGATTCGGTCAGTATGAGCTGGGTCCCAGGAGACTGTACCTCTGATAGCTGCCTTACCTCCCACCTCTTGATCAGAGGACCCTCTGGGAAATGCTGGTCAGCTTCTGCTCCCTCGTTTGCTGGTGGGGCCCAGAGATGCACGTGCTTAGCTGAGGTCCCGCAGTGTGTTGGTGATGGAAGTGCCCTGGAACTCTCCACCCTTCCAGTCTCCCTTCACCACCCCACACTACAGCTCCAAAGAAGCCTAATTTTTAAAAGGTCTTTGAATGTTAATGTTCTCCAGAGCTCTACCCGCCAAAGGGAGATTTCTGTAACATGAATCCTATGAATCCTGTTTTCCCAGTGGATTGCCTTATACTTCCTGAAATGTATTCCTGGGGATAACTTTGGGGTCCACACTTGGGGCGGTGCTTAAGATACTCTTCTCCCATGGCATAGTAGTGTCTGGGGACCTTGACTCAGACGCCTGCCCCCTTTTCTCCATCCCTTGTGGCCTCTCATCTAGCTCTACAAGTAAGAAGAGGGGGAACTGATCTAAGACCAGAAAGCAAAATCAAGTGTGAGGCATGAGTAGCCCACTGCCTCCAGGGTACCGAGGACTATGCCCAGCCTCTGGCATCTGACAGCTGATTTTGAATCCTCACGCCACTCTTTCCTAGTTGTGTGACTAGAAATCAGTGCTTACTACCATGTCCGGTACACAGCAGCACTCAATAAATACCCACTGAATGAACTAAACAAGACTCAGCGGCCTCATCTGTTAACGTGTAGATAATAATAGTAGGTAACATGTACTGAGCACTAACTAGACTGGGTATCGTTCTAAGTGCTTTACAGACATTAACTTAGTCATCATAACAATCCTACGAGATAGATAATAGTATTATCCCCACTTTTTTGGCACAGAAATAAGGATTGTTGGCCAAGGTCACCTAGGCAGTGAGTGAGCGAGCTAGGATTTGAACCAATGCAGCCAGGCCCCAAAGCCCATGTCCACAGCTCCATGCTGGAGGCCAGGACATAATCCTCACCCTGCTGGCATATTGTGAAGATTAAGTGGAAGTGTCTAGCATCATGCCTGGCACATCCAAGAGACCACTAAGATCTGGCCTCCTGCACAGCCCAGAAGGGAATAGGGAGCCAACCATGGAAGTCTGAGATGCATGTGCCTTGGCTGGGCCTCATGCACAGGTCCAGCAGAAGCTCAGGATAAGAGCTGCCTGCAGCCCTGAATAGAGTTCTTCTCATTCTTTCTTCCAAATGGAGAATCAACCCTGGGGCTTCAGAACCCTGATTGAGTCCGCCTCTGATTGCAGCTGCAGTAATTATGCTGTGCAGTCCCACTGGGCCGTGCCACACGCAGCTGCTCTCAGCAGCAGGCTCAGCACCATCATGGGAGATAGGGCTTGGAGGGGGGTGGGCTGGAGCTGTTGGGGCCTTGGTGAGCCCTCTACATCTACAGGTTCAGATCATGGAGTCACTGATGAGGAAGGCAAACTGAGGCCAAGTTGGGGTACATCTCACCCAAGGGCACACAGCTGGGAAATGGCAGAGAAGAGTACAGGGCATGGCAGCTCCATGTTGCTGGAGCTTAAAGGGAGGGTTTGGAAGGGTGGGAGTTGCAGCCAGGTGAGACAGGCAGGGATCAGCAAGTTAAGGAGGGACTTGAGTACCAGGGACCGAGGACCATGAGAGATGTTAGGCAGGGGAGTGGTGGGGTCAGATTTAGGATTTGGAAAGTCCTAGAGGAAGACAGGGCTTCTACTCAGATAAAGAAACTGAGATGTGGGACAGGAGGGCCCTGATGGACTCTCAGGGCCTCTGGCCAGGTGGCTGGAACTGCATGGTAGGACTGGTTGGTGCCATGCCCTGTGTCCCGCTTAGCTAAGCCATGTATGGATGTCTGTCTCCACAGCCAAGCAGGTGTGTCCCGCAGAGAAGCTGAGCTGTGGACCCACCAGCCACAAGTGTGTGCCTGCCTCATGGCGCTGCGACGGGGAGAAGGACTGCGAGGGTGGAGCAGATGAGGCCGGCTGTGCTACCTGTGAGTCTGGGGTCAGAGCCCCAGGGTCTGCTAAGCATAGGCAGGCAGCCTTGGGAGCAGCGGCCCCTTCTGGGGAGGGGCCTGGTTCTCCGTGGGGCTTGGTAGGTGGAGAGGAAAGGATAATGACCAGACAATAGTAATGGCCAGGCACTTTGGAGACATTTTCTTTTTTCATCGTCACAACCACCTCATGAGTAGCCATTATCATCCTCATTTTATGAGTGAGGAAACTGAGGCTCAGACAAGGGAAGAAAAGTGCCCAAGGCTGAGTGATGCACAGCATTCGGGTCTGGACAGCAAAGCCCAAGAGCTTTTTACCATGCCTGACATCTGCTCATCCATTCCACAAGTTAACTGATCTCCAAGCAAGGGCAGGGGGACAAGGGGGACCAGGGAGAGGGCTGTATCAAGAAACGGTGGTGGCCTGGGTCAGGGTACCAGCAGGGGCAAGGAGAGAGAAACAGATTCCTGAGGTGTAAAGGATGACTATTGCTGGAATCTCAGATTCAAGCATAAATGTCACAGGGTGGGGAAGACATTCCCAGCAGCCTAGGCAGGGACAGATGGACGTGGTCACTGGGACAGTTCCACATCACTGAGCTTCAAACACAGGATTATCTCTTTCCCAGGGAGCGGGCCAGCAAGGCCTGTGCTGGTAGGGAGTGGAGCTGGGCCTCACTCATTTCAATTTGATGGGCACATATTGTGTGCCAGGCTTGGAGCCAAGCTCTAGAAGGGACAGAGAGGTGAATCCTACAGTCCACTCTCTGGGAGCACATGATTAATGGGGGAGACAGACTATCTGCTGCTACTGGCTGTAAGGCTGGGCTGAGGTATGGGCCATCATTCAGCAGGGCTTTGCTAGGTACTTGCCCACCACTGCCTCTCACCCTCACTCCCCTCCACCAGCCTCTGTATTTGTACCCTATCCATCCTTCCTGGCCCAGGGGAGATGCCACCTCCTCCAGAGGCTTCTGAGTTATAGCACTCTAAGATTCTAAGTCTGGAGCTTTGATGTGTCTAAAGCAGGAAGCATCTAGGTATGGGAGGATATCCTGGCTGGGACCAGCAGTTTCAAAGCCCCAGTGATGCACTGGCTTGTTTCTTCAGCTGTGATCCTTTTTGCTGAGACTTACTGGCCAATGAGAACCCTTTTCCCTCACCCCTCCCCCATAATCAGATGATTCTTCCAATATAAAGGTTATCAGCCACTAATGCAGGGGCTGGGAGTATCTCTAACTAGGGCATGTTGGAACAGGTTCATTGCCCGTTAATTATAGGAGATAGGGGTGATAGAAGGTCTTATTGAACTTCTCTGCTACAGCTCCCAACTGCCTGGGCAGAGGAAAGAATCCTCCCTTCTTATCTCTCAGAGCTTCTTCCATTTGTAAGTGCTGGGAGTAGGGTCTCTGGGCCTACTGTAGGCCTGAGAATATGGATCTTAAAGTTACTGTCAGCTTCAGAACCTTGGAGAAAACTTAGTATTAAGAGGTACTTCCTGTCAGAGTGAGTACTCCCTCCCTGAACATGTACAAGCCAAGTCTGGACAGGCAGAAGGGGAGCTAATCTAGTCCTGCAGCATAATCTTGAAGGGCCATGGCACCAGGTAGCATGTGCTTTTCCCACCAATGCCTTAACATTCCAAAAGCCCAGAAGGGGGAAAAAATGCAACTGTCAGAAACTTGGTAGAGCTGTCAGAAACACATAACATGAACTGCCTACATTGTGAAAGTGAAGAAATCACTCCATTTTATGTTCAATAACAATTAATTGACGTTTTTTCCATCAGAAAATAAAAACACAGGCTCTGGGTGCCCCCACGTGGAGAGATATGGTGCTGCCACCATCACCACGTTACCTGTGGCCATAGCCACTGCATCATGCCCCACCTGGGTCCCCAGGCCTGTTCTTGGCCTATGTGTAAAGACATGGAGGGAAGGAGGCAAGGAGATTGCTGCCCTGAAAACAGCTAACACTCCAGGAAAGAAGAAAACCAGACAAGCTGAGAGAAGTCAGGAAAACCAGTTTTGGTTCTCTTGTCACCATGGACTGGGCAAGTTGCTCCCCTCTCTGGGCCTCTGTTTCCCCATCTGTAGACTGGCATTTGGGCTGTCTGGTCTCTAAGGTCCTCCCTGCTTCTGAGCTCAGAGCAACCCACCAGAGAGGGAAAGCCCAGGGCCATGATCTATGACCTTAATTACTGCACATCCCTTAATTACTCCTCACGTGCAGTCTGGTCCAGTACTCACCCGCTCCTCACCCAGCCACTGCAGGGAGCTCTGTGCCAGCTCCTCAGGAGATAGCAGGGTCATCCGCAGGTAGTTTGTGGTCATGGAGCTGATGGAGAAGGACGTGAAAACCAGACACCTGAGTAGGCTGTGAAAGGTACACGAAAGGAGGGCAGAGGCCGAGGGAGATTTCTCAAGCAGGGGAACATGAAGTGTGTTATGGAGGAGATGGAATTTAGGACCTTGAAGGATGAGAATTCGTCATTGCAAAATGTAGGGCAGTGGTGGGCAAGAGATGGGTTCCCAGTGGATGGAACAGCTTGAGCAAAGGTATAGAGGTGGAAACATGTGCACTGGGCCCAGCATATGATCTACTGTGGCTGGAACTGGGGTATGTTCAGGAGTGAGGTGATGGGGTTGGAGCAAGTGCCAGAAGAGACACCTTGGACGGCAGGTGAGGGGACTTAGATGAAGTAGTCCAGGTTATGCTACCCGAGACCCTCCTCCCTGGGAAGGGTCAGTGCGTGTTACAGATCATTTCCTGGGAACATCACAAGGTCCTTCAGACAGGCAGTGCTCTGCAGCTTAGAGCCCTCTCTTAGTCCACTACGTTCCTGGCAGCAGAGGCCCAGAAGGCTCAGGGGGGTGGGTGGCAAACGTGTTGCCCAAAGTCGCCTAGCATGCCCCTGGCAGGGCCCAGGTTGGAAACCCCCCTTTGTTGTGCCTGACCTCACGTCCCCCATTCAGCGCCCCCACGGGACTCGTTCTGGCCCGTAGGTGAGGGCCAAGCCCCTGTTAGCCAAACCGCTGGGGCCACGGGTCGGCCAGGGGTGGGGTCAGGCGGCCGACCGGCTGTCTCCCGCGCAGTGTGCGCCCCGCACGAGTTCCAGTGCAGCAACCGCTCGTGCCTGGCCGCCGTGTTCGTGTGCGACGGTGACGACGACTGCGGCGATGGCAGCGACGAGCGCGGCTGTGCCGACCCAGCCTGCGGGCCCCGCGAGTTCCGCTGCAGCAGCGGCGACGGCGGCTCCTGCATCCCCGAGCGCTGGGTC